ATCCGAACGACTAGACAGCTGTCCTTGTCAGGTCCTCCAGACTATGGTGCGTACAAGAAGGGCTTATGACAGCGTCCAAAATAGTGTACACCTTGATCAGAGTCCCACTAGTCCTAGATTGTAGGGCCCTAGACCACTCGACCATTCCAAGTTGAATCCAAGCTCACTATGTATGGGAATGAGTAAAGTAGGGGTTAAATTGTTAACACTCAATATAATATTTTACAGGTTGTGAACGCTCCTTTATGTGTCCCAGTGATCTGATTTTCTTCATCTACCCTAACTGGAATAACTGCAACCAATTCTACGTTTGTGAACGAGGAATCATCACCGTAGACTCCTGCACCAATTTTGGATTTCCCTACTTTAACCCGACAATCTTTGCTTGTCAGGACACCATTCAACAAAACAATGCCTGTACCAACCGTATTTAATATCAACATCGATTTTTCTTGAAACCCGTCTTTAAACCACTAAGAATTAAAACAATCTTTAAAGCTACAATTTCATATTTTTAAGTTATATTTTTAAAATTTATTAAAATAAAGCCTTAAAATAGATGGTATCCATAAACCGTCCTACCTTGTTTAAAAATAGCCCTATTAATCCTATAATTCACTATTGCCAGCTGAGAAATTGGCAAAAATATCATTTTCAACTTCACATTTCAACGTTTGAAGGTAGCTCATGCATGGAGGCAATAGGAAAACAAGGGAGGTAATTGTGTTATTATTTCCGGTGTCAATGATTTTTAAGGGTGGGAAATAATGCCCATGGTCGTATAATAGTGAGTTGATAACCTATTGAGCCAAAGACAAAGAAATAATTATGTTTTGACTTTCTTAGAAAATATGAAATTCTCGCTTTAAATGATATTTTAGAGGCATTTAGTAACTGGATAGAGCAATAAACTATAAGTATGTCGTTAAATGCTTGCAGAACCGGATTACTAAGGTCCTTGCATCAACGGTGAAATGGAGACAAATTCTTGCCATTGTATGTCACATTCTTAGAAATGCAATTAGTATGTCAGTACGGTAGATCTATAGATTTATTTGACATAAACATATACAATACAATAAATACCATAAATTATATGCTGTATATAAATATAATTGGAAGTAATTTGCGGGGCCTATTGCAGGTCTTTCTTTAGGCCTGAAATGTTATCTAAATTATTAATTAGACATTAATTAACTTATCCAGACCATACTCAACTCTTGATGCCATCTCTAGCCTGCGATATTTAAGGGATTGGAATACATTTTGTGATGGAGAATATAACGGTAAAAATGAACAATCGGGACTTTGTTTTTTTTTATCATACCAGCTTTAGTCTAAATTCAAAAGGCAATATCTCGGTTCAGAGTGGAACAATTTGACTTAAATTTTCAGCGTATTCTTTTTACATTATCTAGTCTTTAACTATTATAGCGAGAACTGTCAACTCTTTATCTAATCTCCAGTAATGCCCCTTTATTCAAGCCCTGATTGCTTGTGACACAATTGTGTTTTTTATAAGCTCGAACCAACGCAAAAATGTAAATATTCCCGTCTTATGCCAATAAATCATTATTTAATATAACACTGGTGTTTTTGAGTAAATGAGAACATACCAGTTGGCGTATTCATAGCTGTTGGACTTTACGAATCGTATTATGATTGTGGTCTGAAGATGGCAGAGAGAGAGAGAGAGAGAGAGATGGGATTTAACGTCCACTCGACACAAACTAGATCATTTCGGGACCAAGTGGCCTTTAGCAGTGACAGGATACCCATGATGTTGGACAGGCGACCCTCCTCCTTGTCACGTACAACTTGGGAATCGAAACCACGCCAGCTGATTCAATGATACAGGCATCGCGCACGTGCTAACCATTCGGCCATCCAACCGCAAACTAGATCATTTCGGGACCAAGTGGCCTTTAGCAGTGACAGGATACCCATGATGTTGGACAGGCGACCCTACTCCTTGTCACGTACAACTTGGGAATCGAAACCACGCCAGCTGATTCAATGATACAGGCATCGCGCACGTGCTAACCATTCGGCCATCCAACCGCCATTAAAGATGGCGGAATATACTATCCAAGTGCTTTCGTAACGGTTGAGATCATTCGAGACTCTAGCATACCGTCGCAGTATGTTCCCTTACTGTATTTATCGACTGCTACAGTGCCGCCATACCCGATCTTTATCGCTGTCATGTCATACCAACCCCCTGGCCGACTTTTGTCTGCTATCATGCCATCTGGAATTTCCCCATCGCCTGTTGGATGCTGTGATACTTTCTGGGAATCCCCCCATCCTTTGTGGGATACTGTCACGCCTTCTGGAAGATCTCGAATTTTGTCCAAAGTTTTATGGAATTTACCCATCCCTAGTGCCTTTTTGGGCTACTGTCAAAAAATGTTACTGACAAGTGAAGTCAAATGAGAGAGAATTACCCGTCTGAAATAAACAGAGTTATCTCCCATTAAACAGCTAAGAATCCAAATACGTACAATATTCCTTGAGACCTGACCGTGCCACGAAGACTTGTTTGCTATGGGCCTTCAGTCTTGCCATCTGAAATGCCGCAATATGCTCCATGGATGGGTTAGTCTTGAGCCGTCCCTCAATCCGATCACATAGATTTAGTAGACTAAGTTTTTGGAAAATACTGACGACGCCCAGTGTACTATTGGAGAGTACTCTATATCGGTAACTTGTAATAACATCCACAGGCCGTGTACATCATGGAACGTATCTAAGCTTTGCGGAAATGCAACAACAGTTTAGTACTAGGGGAGATAACCTCTCGTGGCCCTTTATGCTGCAGATTCCTGAACAAAATGCCCTGATCATTACACCATGATTTATGGAAACATTTAGGTTCATTCGGGGTTCTTGGAATCGCCTAACATCTTAAAGACCTGAAGTGAATAAAGCCATTGGACCATCTGCAACTTCTAACCCATATGCTTCAAACTTGAAAGAGACCTGAGGCTTTCAAAAGGAACCCAGTGGGCCTTATGCAACGTCCATCAACTGAGGGCTTTGGACTGGAGATGGAACCATATTTTCAACCAAGATTGGATATTGGGCACTGCCATGCATTATCCTCATTTACCCCCCATATAAAATCTGTAACAGGACTAAGATTAGGAGCAGAAAAGGCAGTTGCTGTAGCAGGGTATGGATAAGCAGGCGTGTCACTATTGAACACATTTAACAATGAACGGTGTTGAACTTCCACTGGACACAAACAATGTCATTTCAGGCCCGTAGCCAAGGGGGGCCTGAGGGGGGGGGGGGGGCGAAGCCCCCCCCCCTGGAAATAATCTTGCCCCCCCCTGACAAAAAGTTGTCGACCATATTTATAAATTACCTATGTATGATTTGAATATATTTCTTGAAAAACACTCAGAATAGTTCGTTCTTAGAAAATATATATTTGTCGATTTCTATGCTTAGAACCTCGTTTACAGCTACTCAATTTTCAAAATTCTCCGGGGGGGTAGCAGGGGAGGAACCCGAGAGCTTGGAAAACGGAAACCCCCACGTATAAGCATTTAACCGAAACCACGCCACATGGTTAAATGACAGACCTTATGATCCTTAACCCCCAAGGTTGGACGACACATGGACCAGAAGATAATAAGAATATGTGAGGTGACGTTAGCTACAATAAGTTGAAGGCCGCAGCGTTCGCCAAAAACGCTTCCCCATTACGAAACGCGGGGCAAAAGTGGGGTGCGAGAATTAACATTAAAATCATTGTTGATATTAATGGTGACTTTGGCCGAAAGGCGTCTTCGTCAGAGTTAACTCCCTTTATACGGGTACAAATAAAATGGTTACAAATCGTACACGTGTTTTAATTATATACGTCATGCTATGGTTACTTTGCCCAATTCCCATAGAATACACAACCGAGACAATTTTCAATACAACAAGGTAATGTATAATGACTCGTCTCGGCACATGCCCGCCTCGGCTACCCCACCCCACCCCGCTAAAACACGAGAGAGAGAGAGAGAGAGAGAGAGAGACAGAGAGAGAGAGCTTAATTGTGGAGGTGTTTACCAATGAGCGGAAACATCAGGACACGTAGAAAACCCACATGGTTAGACGGGCGACCCCACTCCTTGTCAAGTACAAGTGTGGAGATATTTACGTCCACGCAACACAAATTAGGTCATTTCGGGACTAACTTATGGTTCGATTTTATTTCAACAATTCGCTTGCGCATATTGGTCTTAAGCTGTGGGCCGAAAGCGGGGGACCCGGAGAAACCTCACGAGGTTAGACAAACGACCCTATTCCTTCCTACTACTTGTCACGTACAAAAAGGGAATTGGAACCAATCAATGGCAGAACTTATAATCTAATTCAATCTGAGTAAAACACAGATCCTATTTCGTTTCGTTTTTATAGTTAAAAATTTCATTTTATTTGTCTTCACAACACTAGGATCTGGAAGAGTTGTTACATAACAGACGTTCTGCTTGATGTAAGGAATTATGCAATGAAAGGGTCTGTTACGGCGAGTTCTTGGCGTGATGTGCACGGAACTGTGGGTAAACGACTAGAAACGTCAACGCTGTTTGATTAATCAATGTCTGACGTCTTTGGGTCAAAAGCCGCTCGTATGACCCCTGACGCGACCTCCCACTGCAACTAGAGGCCATCGAATGTATAAAAAAAAACGAAACGAAATACAGATCTGTATTTTAATCAGATTTAATCTAACGCGCACGCTTTAAACAATTCGTCCTAGTAATGTAAGTATCTATGGTAACAAGATATGATGGGAATATTTACCTACTCGAATGTCTTCATTACGTTCTGGACTGTCAATCGAGGATCGCCCATATAAAGTAACGAAACAAAAAAGGGGCTGTGATGCGACAAAGTCTTTGTAAAGCATCCACGAGTTAAGTTACTATACAACAAGAGAATTGGGATGGGAATAAAGTTGTAAATTAATAAAACAAATATCATCTCTCTCTCTTCAGGTTTCCGGGATTACTCAAGACCATTAGTGAAGATTGCACCAAGAACCATTCGACCAGGTATATAATAAGTTTCTCACAGTAAATAATCAATCGGTTATAAGCAAGAAAAAATTATTTTAGGTATTCAGTGACTTACTGTAATCCTATGCTGACAAAATAAACACTAACCCTAACACTAACCCTGGCCAAAAACTCTAACGAAATAACCCTATTAGCTGTTCTGAAGGTTTTATGCTAGGTACTCACTGTCGTGCGATATGCGTTATGATGGGATTGGTCCCTACAGAGTCCACGATCTACTACGTGCAGATACGTTCGGATACGGTCAATACGATGGCTACGACTGATCTCAATATATGATAAGACCCGATAGGATCAGCCGGAATACCCCCCGATTAAAACCACGAGTTCAATCGTAACGCGAATCGTGATAGTGGGAACCGAGCATAGGATCAGCAGGATTACCCCACGATTAAAACCACGAGTTCAATCGTTGCACGAATCGTGATAGTGGGAACCGTGCATAAAATAACACAACTGAACCGTTGTGAAATGATCATTAATAATTGTACTCACGATATTTTTGATAGTATTAAAATTTTTCGCCCCAACCGTTTGAAGAAATATCATAGACATGGTATATCGATTTACTTCTTCATTACAAATTATTGTATTATAACCCAAAAGGATAATGGGAACCGCGTTGACCCAGTGAGTAAGACGTTGGCTAGCTAGTTTGGAGTCCCCGTGTTCGGTCCCGGTGATGGTCAAGAAATATGGTGATTTTCCGGCACGACTTCTCCTTGTCAGTGGTGCAGGGGAAGGGTCTGCATAGTCGTTCGAATGGGACAAAGACCCAAGGTCCCGTGTACACATTGGCATGTACGTAAAAGTACACTAACTTGACAATTGGAATTCGAATTAAATATTTAAACCGCGTTGCATTCATTAGTTAAGCGGGGGGAGGGGGGTTGGATGGCCGAATGGTTAGCACGTGCGTGCTGTATCATACGGCCTCTCATTAAGTCAACTGGTGTGGTTTCGAATCCCAGTTGTACGTGACAAGTAGTAGGGTCGCCTGTCCAATCTCGTGGGTTTTCTCCGGGTCCTCCGGTTTCCCCCCACTGCTAAAGACCCCTACGCGCGAGCGAATTATGTAAATAAAATTAAATCATATGTTAGTCCCCAAATGACCTAGTTTGTGTCAAGTGGACGTTAAACCCCATTTTTTTCTCTCTCTCTCATTCATTAGTTAAGCGTACCCAAGCACGCAATGCTAGGTTCCCACTATCACGATTGGTGCTGCGATTGAACTCGTGGTTTTAATCGTGGAGTAATCGTGGTGATCCTATCAGGTCTTATCATATATTGAGGTCAGTCGTAGCAATCGTGTTGATCGTATCGTATCCAAACCTTGCAGATTGTGCACTCAATAGGGACAATCCTATGGTAACGAATCGCACGACAGTGAGAAACTGGCATTACTATTATTATTAAACGTATCCATAGCACACACAACTACCACTTAAAGTATAATACTTGTAAATACATTATATTTTTGTTGAAGGTTGTGAAAGAGTTTTTCAGTGTCCTACAGATCTCCAGTTCTTCATCTATCCTGACTGGAACAACTGTAGTAATTATAATACATGTGTTCAAGGTACCATTTCGCCGGAATCATGTTTATCGTTGGGTTACCCGTGGTATAATCCCTCAACTTTCGCCTGTGAACAGCAGATAGCACCTAACAACGTCTGCTTCTTCCGAGCATAAAGCAACAGACTTATATGTATTAAATACATTTAAACTGGATTATGTCTCCACCATATTTTATATTTTACCACACAATTTTAATTACATTTGTATCTTTTTGTTACCAGGCATATGTATTAAAGTTTTTGAGATAATTTTAAATATACATTATGCAAGAGCTAAATCTGCCAATTGCAGGTATTTCTTTACGCCCGAAATGTAATATCAACTATTAATTAGACATTTATTAACATGAAAAGACCATAATCAACTCTCGACGGCATTGGATACTCGAGATTTTAACTAGATTAGAACGGTTCGCCTTTTAAAAATTTAATTTAAAAATCGGAAAGCGAGGTCATGTCTAGAATATACCAGTGCCCTGGTTAACACTATGCGCACATCTTGTCAAAACTACAAATTACTTCACAATGAAGTATTTTGAATGAAATTTTCAATATTTTCATTTTACATTATCTATTTTTTTGAGCTTTATAGCAAGAATGGTCAGATCTTTATCTAAATCTTACATAATGTATCTTTAAGATTATAATAATGGTACCTTCATTAATACATTATCAGAATAGAATCTTGATTTTAAGATATCTTTATTAGGTTTTATATTTTATATTTGAGAGGGGCGGTTGGGTGGTCTAGTGGTTTAACGGATGCGCATGAAATCATAAGGTCTGTCATTGAGTCAAGTGGCGTGGTTTTGATTCTCCACTGTAAGTTTTATCCGGATCCTCCGGTTTCCTCCCACTACCACATCTTAGTCCCGAAATGACCTAGTTTGTGTCGAGTAGGCGTTACGCTCTCTAATTTTACCATACAAGTTAAATTATATTATGTTATAATCAAAGATCAGACTATAACATGTTACTTATCTTTAAGTACAATTTTAAAATAATCCATATTAGTATCACATATAAGATTGTATAAGATGTTTTTTTTTATAAATATTATATTAGAATATATGTTAATTATTTTATAATTTTACCATACAATTTAAAATAACTTATATTAGTATCTGTTACTAATTGTGTAATTTACCATACAATTTAAATTAATTGTTTTCAGTATCCGTTTCAATTTAAAACAACTTATATTGGTATCTGTTACTAAATGTATAATTTACCATACAATTGAAAATAACTTATATTAGTATCTGTTACAATTTAAAATAACTTATATTGGTACCTGTTACTTATTGTATAATTTACCATACAATATAAATTAATTGTTCCCAGTATCACCTTGTACCATGTTACAACTTTTATAACTTTACTATTCAGTTTAAAATTTGATTATATTAATATCTCAGATCATATTGAACTATTTTGTTTGTTTATATCACAATTTAACTTATAAAGTTACCATTCAATTTAAAATAATTTATATCAGTATCAAAGATTTGAATGCACTCTCCAAGCATTTAATCTCAAGAAAACTACCCAAAGCTGTAAAAATCTAATATGTCACTTGACAGGACTGAGGCTGGAATTTGTGGTTACTCGCTGGCTATTTATCATAAATATTGAAGCCCGACTACAATCTTGGATTATCCACTGCCAACTTATTTTTCCAACGTTTAAGTCTGCAGTATGTCTTCCATTGTTCTGAAAATCGCTAACCATTCGATCTTCAAAATCGACCAGTCCCTACGTCGTGCAAGCAGACAGCGAGTGGACGGCTGTCAGTTAGTGGTCCGCTTTACATTTTGTCCTGTGCGCGACTCATGGGTGTTTTTAAGGGAATCCAATATTTTATTTGTAAGATTGGGTGTTTCTACTTTCCATTATATATACCAAACGTGCCATAATTTTATTGAAGATAACTACCATATAAATACTTCCGTGGGAATGCATCTTTAAAATACATTTGTACCACAGATCAGATTAAACAAAACAATGCAAATTCGTTTTTTGTTTTAAGGGGGCGGGGGGCTGGATGGCCGAATGGTTAACACGTGAGTGCTGTATCATTGGGTCTGTTATTGAGTAAACTGGCGTGTTTCGATTCCCCGGGTGTACGTGACAAGGAGTAGGGCCGCCTGTCAAACCTCGTGGATTTTCTTCTGGTCCTCCGGTTTCCTTCCACTGCTAAAGACCCCTACGCGCAAGCGAATTATTGAAATAAAATTGAACCATACGTTAGTCCCAAAACTGGCCTAGTTAAACCCAATTTCTCTCTCTTTTGTTTTTTAAAAAAGATGCAATTATTTATCTATTAAATGATCAGTGTTTGAGGGTTGTGTATGGCTCGTCGAGTTAGACGCCGGCTCGAACATTGACCAGCCGTTCAAATCGTTCAAAAACCACGGCCCCGTGTACAACAAATAAAGTTTAACAGTTGGAATTCGATATAAGAGTAGACTGGAAAAAATGTCCTTAAAGGCAGAATGTATGAAATACAATAATCTTCCTTAGTGCATTCGGCGCAGAAAGGTAGGACGATCAACTCCATATTTAATTTATTATCAATTAATGGACCAGGTCCATCAGCAAACGTAATGATACAATTACTATTTTTTGTTGTCCCTTGGCGATGCGAATTCATACTACTATTAAATCCACCAAGTATAAGGTGGTTCAAACAATATTTTATGCAATATAATTACATGTAATCAGTGTAAAGGTTGCGGAAACATGCAAATATAATGAAACAGTGTTGTCGTACGAACTGAACATCTCCAATGACAACTGCTGCTTTCCACAACGGTAGGTAGTCAATATGGCCGTTGTGTCCACAATAAAAGATACAATTTCTAGGAGCAATAGAAGTCAGATGAGTTAAATCCACAACATTTCTTGGTCTAGAACATTTAATTTAACATTCCTATGATCTTAATCGTTATAACTACAAAAAGGAAAATTCATTCGATTAAAATCTTGAAAGGTATTGACCGCTCGATTTCGTTTTGTATGGTGTCATTCATTTTGCTAGGTGCTTTCCCTAATTCATAGCTGTTGACTCCCAGATTGTACTAACCCAAAAACAATGAATATTCACTTAAGTCAGAGTATGTAAATTCAAGTTCATTTCGTCCATTCTAGATAAATCAAAATTACCACGCATCATCCATTTTCTAAACGTTCATTTCTTCCATTCTAGACAAAAAGATAAATCAAAATTACCACGCATCATCCATTTTCTAAACGTTCATTTCTTCCATTCTAGACAAAAAGATAAATCAAAATTACCAAGCATCATCCATTTTCTGAACGTCACCGCCCCTCTTTCTATGCTACCAGACTTTTTACGTACGTCACTAACTTACGGCCAATGTCTGTGTTTTTGCCAACCGTCTCTTTCTCTTGGTGCTCTTCCCACCACCCTTTAAGGTCATTAACTTGCTTCTCTGCATACCATAATTTTATCTAATACAATAAAATAAGAATTCTATAAACAGCTTTCCCGAAAACTTTATATTGTGGATGTATGGACATTTATTTATATTGATGATAAAACTAACTTTATTTTTATTTCTTCTTTTTACAGCTCCAGTTCCTACATACGGCGTTTTAAAACTACAAGTGAAATGAAATGGGGTTTAACGTCCTACTGTTCTGCTCTGACAGGGCATACATCATTCAGTGTGCTATGAGGGAAATTTTGCCAGGACAGCGGCACTATGGCCTACTCTTATATCGAAGTCTAACTGCAGGGGATCTTTCACGTGCACGCCAATGTATACACGGGACCTCGGTTTTTCGTACTATCCGAACGACTACACAGTTGTTCTTGTCAGGCTCTCCGTCCAGCACCACTGACAAGGGGAAACCACGTAGGAAAATCCCGATGAACTTTCTCGGCCAATGTAGGGATCGAACACGGGACCTCCAGGCTAGCGAGCCAGCGTCTTACACACTTAGCAATCGTGGCTCCTTAGAACTACACACAGGCACCATTAAATTGTTGATGCATGGACAATTAATATCTTGTATGATAAATACTAACTTTACTTGTTTTGTTTCTTGTTTTTCTCTTTGTAGACTCATTTCTTACCTACGTCGATTTAGAACTAACAGGAGACAACCTTCAAGATGACAAACCTTCCAAATGTGATACATCATTTGATTTTATTGACTTTATTTATTTTCTTTATGTTGTTGTATTTCTCTGTACGGATCCTTGTCCTTTTATAACTAAACCAACACCCAGACACCCTTAAAGATAAGAAACGACAAAACTGTATTGATAAAACTATATTGATGTTATTGGTTTATGCCTCGTTACAGCTTGCCTATTCGACGGTTTAGAAACTAAGAGCATGCGTGTATGGATATCTAACTTTTTTATTATAATCATAACACTAACTCTATATATGTTTTCTTTTGAATTTCTCTCTACAGTTCCAGGTCCCTTGAGAACTAAAAGAAGATACACTTAAAGGTACCAAACATTCAGACTGATCGATCATACCCCTGTGGAGCACAAACAATGTAAATTATTCAATTGAATGTATTTTGTCGTGTCTTTTATTGCCTGGATTAATGTGTTTTATAATGATTAATGATGTTATATTGGGTGAACTTCGATGGTAAATAAGATAAATAAACTAAAAACTAACTCCTGATTAAACACATGAAGACAAAATACAGTTATCTTGACGCCAGCATCGACTAGTATGTTGGAATATAGAGTTATTAACAACTCTTGTTGGGTTTTTTGTTTCATGTAAAAACAGTACAGATCATCAACATGGTCATTATTCACGAAAGGAGTCAAACCTCTTACTCATTATTATCGTTGATATTTGAAATTTTAATTTATATTAATATTGTTATCCTACCGAAAATAAATATGGGATTCTAATATATGGAAAGTCCATTGGCCAATTACGCTGTTTGACCGAGACTTCGCTTAATGGTTTGGATGCAACTATGGCGGATGTGGCACCAGGCTTAATAAGCTTATTCTTCCGAAAACCTGTTACTGTTCGTCGTGTATATTGGGGGTGTTCCCACTTTGCCGGCAGGCTTTGATGTCAAATCGTGCCGCTAATCCAGAGTTAATCCTTGAATAATGGTGTTATAAACTATAGTCCATATCTGATTAAAACTTATTGATTTTAACAAATTTCGGCCACCTTGATTATTGGAGATAAAGCGAATATTAACCTGAACGTACGCCATTTTAAAATAAATATAATGTCGACACAGATCGAGCATATTTTAATATAGTGAATTGAATTCATGTTTGTTTGAAGGCATAACGCCGACATGAACTGTGTTCAAAATGTCATTAATTAGTTGGTTAATAAATTTTATTAAGAGGGATTAAGAGCTCATTAACGCTGAACACTATTGAACAGTTCTTGAGTGACTACTTTTAAACACAGTATAGTTTTAAGATCAATTAAGGGATTAACAGTCTGCCGGCATAGTGGGAACACATCGTTTTTTGTACACGGTGAACAATCCATTTGCTGTTTACACTATTTTGCTCGTACCGTTCTTTTAGAACTCTCGCTAGCCTGGAGGTCGGGTGTCGATCCCTGCATTGGCCGAGAAAGTTCATCCAGATTTTCCGGCGTGGTTCCCCCTTGTCAGTGATGCAGGACGGAGGGCCTGACAAGGACAGCTGTCTAGTCCTTCGGATGAGACTAAAAACCGAGGTCCCGTGTATACATTGGAATGCACGTAAAAGATCCCTTGACAGTTGGAATTCGATATAAGAGTAGGCGATAGTGCCGCTGCCCGGGCAAAATTTCCCTCATAGCACACTGAATGGCGTATGCCCGTCTTCATTAGCCCAGTATAGAAGCAGAACAGTAGGACGTTAAACCCCATTTCATTTCATTTCTTTTAGGACTTCGAATGTTGTCTAATGGTTTGTATTCTTCGTACCTTTATTTTATTTTATTCCAAATTAAGACAGATATCAACATGTTTTCAAAATGAATACTTCAGAATACATTGAGGAACTAATCAAAATATTGTTGGTTCACAAACGACAAGATAATTATTTTTCGTACTTGGTTTTATTTTATTTTATTTTTTTCCGAATCAAGACATGTGAACATATTTTCAAAATGAATACTCCAGATGACATTGCGGAAGTAATCAAAAAAATGCTCATTCACAAACGGCAAAATAATTATTGTTCGTTCTTGGTTTCATTTTATTTTATTCTGAATCAAGAAATACTTCTTAAAACATTGTGGAAGTAATCAAGAATTGCTGATTCACAAACAATATAATGATTTATTCCCACAAAGGCGCAGTTATTGACCGTAATGGATTAAAGAGGTCGTTTTCGACGCCTTCGTGGGAATCCAGCTCTTAGGGCTTAAAATGGATTAAACATGTAACAATGGTGTTATAGATTGTTATGATAAGAATTTACACTTTCATTATCCCTAATATGACTAATAAACTAACATTTTAACATGTTTGGCATAGGAAAGGAAATGAAATGAAATGAAATGGGGTTTAACGTCCTACTGTTCTGCTTCTATACTGGGCTAATGAAGACGGGCATACGCCATACAGTGTACTATGAGGGAAATTTTGCCCGGGCAGTGGCACTATCGCCTACTCTTATATCGAATTCCAACTGCCAAGGGATCTTTTACGTGCATTCCAGTGTATACACGGGACCTCGGTTTTTTGTCTCATCCATCTGCACCACTGACAAGGAGAAACCACGTCGGAAAATCCAGATGAACTGTCTAAATACTCAACTAAAGCTAATTCCCCTTCTTCCGGTCTTCTTTTTAATTCCTGGAGCTGGCTTTGGCTTAGGGCATATTTATGTCTGTTCCTTGGTGGTTCCTGTCCCACGGCATACTGTACAATTCTAATTTCATTAATATTTTGCTCTTGTTGTAAAAATGCGATCATTTCAAAAACATTCGGATGAGCTTTAACAACTAGCTTCTTGATCCTTGGATGCCATCGTTCTCGAGTTAA